GGTGGTTGCTAAGGGCTAGAAGGAGGGGAAGATGAGGAGATGCTGTTTACTAAGACTAGAGTTTCAATTGTGCAACATAAAAAGATCTACTGTACATCAATGTACAATACTGTACTGATGTAAAAATTTGATCTCATGTTACTTTTTTGCCACATACCCACAAGAAAAGAAATATCCAAAAAAAAGTATTCAGTCATAGATATATTTCAAAAAGGTCTGAAGGCATCTGGATAAAATACTTCAAATTTAATGTTAGGTTAGAAGATAACCTTTTAAGATTAAAGAACTCTGAAAATCTGACAGTTCCTCTCCAGAAACAATATACCTGCAACACCGAAGTCCAAGTTAAAAGCCTTATGCTAATTTTAAAAAATATTTAAGTATAAGTATTAAAAATGCATAGAAACAAAGTTTTAAATATGACTAGACAATAATGTTATGATTTCTTTATGCTTTAATATATATTTAATTATTTATAAAAAATTTGTTTCTGTAATATCACTATAGAGGAAAAAACACACCTAATACTAGCTGTAAACAAACAAATAATTTAGTCATCCTTTGGAAACTTGTCAGAAAACAAAAGTTTATCTTCAGTGTTCTGAGGGAGCTAATGTAATATCCTCCAAAACAAAAACATGTCTCCTTGCAGGGAAAGACTAGTGGTGCACATGTAGCACACTAAGAATGCATAAGCACTAGCTAACTCAGATCTGTGTAATTAGTGGATCCCTGACAGAAATGTCTACCCCTACCCCAATGTAAATCTTGAAATTGCTGAGAATGAGCAGGGTGTACGGGGGAGCACATTTGCAGAAAAAAAGTCCCAAAAGCCAATAAATGACAACAAAACAGAGATGGAGGATAGAACTGAGATGAGGGTAACACTTCATTTGTCCAGCATCACATGAATGAAATTTTCTTTTAAAAATGGAGACTACGCCCTTTCAAGGCAAAGCTCCTATTTTAATCCCATTAAATGGAAAACAACCTTTAATAGATTAGAGGGTTCTGTCTCCTTGACTGTGTGCTCTGTTCTTGAAAACCGCCAGAATCAACACCCCCAATTGTCCTCAAAAAGGGACAAACAGCAAGTACACAATCCACGCACTTTATGAGAGACCACAGAGGAGAGAGACTCATTCTGACGAGGAGAACGAAGAGGCTTCCCCGTGACTTCAAATGGTGGTGAAGGATGAGAGGGTTTCCTCAGAGGGAGCAACGAGGGAAAGGGAGGAGGATGTTACAGGAATGATGGAAAGACTGTTAGAAGGAGCCAGAGAAAATGAAAAATAAACTGGGTCAGATTATGAAGGATCCTGAAGAATCTCCCAAGGAGTTTATCCCTCAAGGAACTGGGGACACAGCAGAAGTTTCTTAGGATAGAAGTGATAATTTTATTTGTAATGATGAGTCTAAGGGCCTGCTTCCACCTCAGTAACCTGCTGTCTAAAACTTCAGCAGTTCTAGTGTTTAGCATCTAGCTGACCACATAAGGAGCTCCCTCTCAAGAGTGAGTCCAGTGGCTTTTTTTTTTTTTTTTAAGCATTTTTATTTATTTCTCAGTCCTGTAGTAACACTTCTTCCCTACTCCCTGTGTGTTCAGGTGAATGGAGTTACTAAGAGCAATCCTCCTCCCATGACTGGACCAAATTCTTCCATGGCAGCTTTAACTATTTCTTAGAGTTTATATGAATAATTCTTGTAGAGGCTGAGGTAAATAACTAGTACTTATCATTGGATGGTGGAATTCTTCCTGTGTACTTTTGCTTAATGGGCATCAGATGAAGCTAAGCTGAAAATTTATGGAAGGCAATTTTCAGCTATTATATTTGGTATTCTTTTTTCTCTTAGAGAAGACTGTAATGAGGTAAAATAATATGTAGATACTAAAAATTTCAGTGGTGAGCTGCTGATAACGTCCTGTGGTGAAGAATAAGCAGCCACAGAAGTGTTTAAAATAACACTATCTTGAAGAAATCTGAATTGTCCATAAGAAATTGAATGCTTTGGGAAGCAATGTGCCCGCCATCATTTGAAGGGTTCAAGACTAGGCTGTTCTGCCCCCTGGTGGGGTCTGGGAGGCAGTAGAAGGCAATATTTAAGAGCAGATAACCCAGAATCAGTTCAGGCTCTGTCATATATTTGCTGTATGGCCAAGAGCAGGCTGCTTAACCTCTCCAAACCTTCAGTGCCCTCATCTATGTAATAGGGATAGATATAATACATCTCACAGTGTTGTTATGAAAAAAATTGACAGGGCATATGTAGTTCAGTTAGCACTGTGCTCAGCATATAGTAAACATTCAAAAGAAACCCATAAAAATAATTACAATAATACCATTACTAGGAGAGAGTCAAGCTTAGGATGGGAAGGTGACCTAGATGATCCTTAAGGTCCCTTCTTAGGCCAATAGTACAAGAGTTTATATCCTTCACTGATGTCTAATTAAAACTAAGGTTATTCTCTGCCTGCAAAGACTCCAGTGTGTGAGTGTGTGTGTGTGTTTGCTAACGTATTAGCAAGCAGTCCAATAAAAAGCAGAAATGTGTAAAAGATATTTGGAGCACATTGCATATAGAATGCATGTAGGTTTGTGACTAATTCTGAACACTTGGGCCCAGTGACTCACAGGGTCCCCCAAGAAACTGTCAATAAATAAAGAGGATCTGAAAACAGGTCTACCCTTCAGCACAATCACCAACAAAGCAAAGTGTGAGACTCAGTTTACCTAGATACCCTATCTTCTCTCAGTTTCATGATTAGAAAGTACAGTGCAATTGAGTATTTAAAATATATCCACTTCTAGAATAATTTTATTTTGCAGGTGGAGTGTTAGTTGACTGTCAAATTCTTCCATGGCAACCTTAACTATTTCTTAGGGCTTACATTAATAATTCTTCTAGAGGCTCAATTAATCATTTCAGGCCATTATCATAGAATTAAATGACTACTTCAATCAAAATATCAAACCAACAAGTATTGGATTGATTTTCTATCTTGTGCCCTAGAATTACAAGGCTCTGGTTAGAGTAACTGGAAGAGTTAAAACCTGTGTCTTAAATATAAGGAGCCCCTAACAAGTCAAATATCAATAATTTTAATCATTTGCAAATAGATGGTGCTCAAGTGCTTTTAAATAACTTTGACTATATTATCTCACTTGGCCTTTATCACAGAAGATAGGGCTTATGTTTTTACCTTAATTTAAAGATGAGGAAAATCGCCGGGCTCAGTGGCTTAGCCTGTAATCCCATGCTTTGGGAGACCGAGGTGAGTGGATTGCCTGAGCCTGCGGGTTCAAGATCTGCCTGCGCAACTTGGCGAGACCTCATCTCTACAATAAATCAAAAAAATGAGCCGGGCGTGGTAATACATGCCTGTAATTCCAGCTACTTGGAAGGCTGAGGGGAAGGATCGCTGGAGCCCAGCGGGTCGAGGCTGCGGTGGCCGGGAGCGGCCACTGCACTCCAGTCTGGGCCACAGAGTGAGACTCCAACTCAAAAAAAAAACAACAAAAAAAAACAGTGTCATTTTGTGTATACCTAACCCTTAACTCTACCCCACAATATCATAATAAAAAATATTTTTAAAAAATGAGGAAAAACTTTGAGTTTAGAGATGCTAAGCCCAAAGTCTATGGTGGATAAATGACACAGTCAGAATCCAGGACTCTATTGTCCAATATCACTTCTAAAAGAGCCTTATTTATACCCACAGAATAACTCTGTAGTTAAAGAATGGCATTCAATAAATATTAATGGATGACCTAAGTTTATTGTAATTCAGGACAATATTTTCATAATTAGTTTTAAGTTTTAATCGAAGTTGTATAAACGTTTTTAGCTTAGGTGAAAAATAAGGAGATATATCTTTAGCATCATATATACAACATGTAAATCTACAAGTACTATGTTGGTCATTATCCACTAGAACTGATGGATAAGTGCATCCTATTCAAACGTGGCACTGTGTAGCACTCTTCAATTTCCTGTTAAGTGAAAAGATGACCTTGACTTGAGTAAAACCCCAGGAATGATATTAGATCACTTATCTCTGGCACTCTGGATATCAACAAAATCAAGCAGGTAACTCCACAAATCATCATACACACACACGCCCCCACCATCTTGCTACACTACAACACAACTATGAAACAGCCTTCCTTTGTCATTTTGCATGAGTAAGTCTTCATGAGACATTTTGTCAAGAAAGTTATGCCTCGTTATACCTGATGTGAATTGCAGAAAGTTTCTTAGAGGTCAAAATGTGCTCAATAGTGAGACTGAAAATGGCACTCATTTCACATGTCTATCATAGAGCAGGCATTCAAACACAGGTAAATTATAAATGCATATTCATCTCCTGAATAAAAGATTACAGAAATATCCTCTGCCCTAATTTGATTTCCTTAAAATAAATTTCATAAAAAATATATGGGAAATACTGGGTATTTATTAATTAGTCAATCATGTGGTTAACAACTAAGACAAATATTTTCTACTATATATGCTTACTAAAACAGCGCTCACAAATCAGAAAACTTCATACTTTGAGGTATCTTCTATTATTCTCTTGACAATACTAATTCATCACTTATTTATAGAGACATGGAATACCATATTAGTCAGTTACTTTTTTTAACCAGTTTTATTCACAACAAGTTTTATTTCCTGAGTTTGGTCTAGTGTAGGTGTGAAATTCCTATCAAATGCATCAACACTCTCGGGATCGCTACTTTTTGCCAATTTCAGGCTTTGTGGCCTGCCTGAGCAAGGTCCAGCGATTTACCTTCATTATGTGAACTCTGAAAACCAACCCTCAGAGCCTCTTGAGTGTAGCTTTTGCTTAAAAATTAGGGCTAATGCCCACAGACTACACAGGGCCTCAACATTTGTTGGTTGCAATTTAGTTTTACTGGGCGTACTCATGACATTGTGGTCAGTGACCACTTTCTCAGCTATCCTAACGAGTTCCTGTGGGGATTCCGCAGACTCACTTTTGGCACATGAGGATTGAATTCCACAGCTCTGTGAATGGCCTCTACTGCATTCATCTCTGCTGTGCTCAGCCCCCGCCGAGAGGCAGCCTCGGGAGAGAATCTGAAAAGCAGAAAGACAAACACCATCCAGTTGGGACTACTGCTTGGGCATCAACCCGAAAAGGCATCTGCACATCAAGGGCCCATAAAACCACAGTGAGCCAACGGCACCAGCTCTCCAAACTTCCACTCTATGGAAACTCTGAGTGACCCCTCAGACCGAGGCCAACAAAAACCCCAGCAGAAGCGGAAAGCGTGCTTGCATCTAATAGCGGCAGAAATTAAATTCAGCTGTCAAGTCTCTCTGCCTAAATAACTAATCTAAATTTACTATGAGGTACCTGCTCAGGTGGGGGAAGAGGGAGGACTGACAAGGGCAGACAGGTAGGAAAAAGAGAAAACTAGGTTACAGAAGAGCGCACTTGGTTAAAAACAGAACTGGGGAGGATTTGAAAGGAGGCGCCCACCCCATGTCAGTGCTGCGATGGAGGGTTAAGCCGTTGCAGCTTCAGCAGCAGGAGAGCCTGCTTGGGGCCGTGCCGGCAGGGGAGTGTGCACGCCCAAACTGCGGGCGAGACACCTGCCCAAGTGAATGAAAAAAACCAGACCATGCAATCTCTTTCTCACCTCACACCCAGGGCTAACTCCAGAGCTGTGCTTGGCAGGCAGACACCACAGGGGAAGCTGTGACAACCCTGGCCCTGCCCTCCCAAGCTGGAGTCGCTGTGTAGGGAGAAAAGATGTTGCAGTAGGTACTGGCGATCTACAGGATAAAAAAGAATGAAAGAAAATTACTTCGGTCTTGAAGTGCACACACACTTAACAGCAAACCTGTCTGACACAGCAGAGGCTGTTTTCCTGTTCTCTGCTTTCGTTGCTACAAAGGGATTGTACGGGGGAAGCGGAAGTGTTTAGGAACTCAAAAACAGTTAAGCCATCTATGCTCTTTCACCTGCCCATCATCCTTGGAGCTTCATGGAAGTTCTATATGCTCCATTCACCTGCCTAAATAAAATGGGCAAATTTTCCATTGTGATGGCAACTCAAGATAAACAGACCATGGGTGGGAAGCTAATTTGGAATTGATAAGGCAAAGAATGGGAGATGACCATCCCCTCTGCCAAATTCCATGTTCGTATGACTACTACCCAGTCTGTGGACTGGAAGAGGAATATGCAAAAAATGAATAAAAGGACAGTATTTTGTGTATGTCCCAAGCAGGCCTTTTGGTATCTACTGTCTGGCAAAAAAAAGTCACCTCAGAGGCATGGAATTTCATACAAATCCCTCTTTAGGGATCCATCCACCCTTACAATACCTGGGATATACATTCCCTTCATCTAGTAGTGAAAGACAAGATCAGCAGGTTTTGGAAAATGCAGGCTCATAAGCAGGGGTCTCATAGACTAAGAAAACTTCCAGAGAAAGCCCCCAGAGGCAACACATCTCCTTCAGTCCGGTCAGGCATTTAGTAGCGCACAAGTTATTATTCACTTACTTGTCAGAGACAGCTCTTGCTTTGAGCAAGGCAGCTGTGTAGCATATTGTTGCTGACTTTGGTAAGCTTATATCTGTCAGAGAAAAAGAAAGTAGGAACACTTGTAAGTTTGCAGTAACAAAGAGCAACAACTTTCATTATGCTAGCATTTTAATCATGTACATCCAGTAAAGCATAAATTAAGAATATTTTAATATATACATTACACAAGAACTTCAGCCATTCCTTCCTATATCAAGGTGGTATGTAAAACTAGGGGTAGTGTGTATATTTGTGAATAATTCATGTTTAAAATCCACCAGACGAACTCTTTAGCATTTATCTTCTATTTTAAAATATGAATTTTCATATATTGAGCTTGATTTAAGCAGAGTATACCTATAAATAAATAAATTTAGATGTTTTATGAATACCCTTTATATGAATGGCAGACAAGACCTCTTTGACAAATAAAAATTTCTCAACTATACTAATGTGAAGGACAAAAATCTAGATTTAAAAGACATAGCTGAATAAATTATTCTTTAGTGGCCATATTTAAACTAAATTTTCTTTGCATTAAATGTTTAAAAGTTCAATTAAGTTTTTAATAGTGTTAAAAATATAAAAGTCAAAGTCAAGGAGATATACATATATATTTAATATATTTAAATATATATAATTTTAAAAGTTTTATATATTAAACCTTTAGAAAGAAAGCTATACAATATTTGTTCATGCAAACTCATGATAAATCTCCTTTCATATGAAGCCTAATTTGTTCCTAGAAAAACAGTTATTTTAAGTTTTATAAACATTTCACATGGAGGGGCAGGGGTGGGTAACAGATTCAGATAATGAGTTTACAGGAAAATAACACCACAGGGTGCAACCTAGAATAGATAAACACAAAGAGAGTACTTCTTTGGGGGAAAACTTGTTTTTAAGTTATGATTCCATTAATCCCTGAATAAGAGTTAGTATTTCTTTAAAACTTGCAACCAAATTTACATTGTCACAGAAATACTTCTTAATTCAGATTAGGTAAAAATATGCCTTTCCTGGGTGATGCAAAATTTACTCTATGTGAAGAGGGGCTCTAAACACTCACAATGCCCTCTAAGTTTCTTCAAAAGACTGTTTTCAACTTAGGAAAAATTCCATTACAGTAGGACTGAAAAGGGAAGTCCCATAATTAGCCAATAGACAGTAGCAGCAGAAAATCATTTCCTAAAAGAAAACCAATCTCTCTTCCATAACAAATATTTACCACCTCTTCTCTTTGCAGGAAACTTCTCTTTGAGGCATTGATAAAACACAAACAATCATAGACAATACCAGCACAGAACTGAAAGGGAAAGAGGTCTTTGTAATCTTGATCTCATAAACTATATTCAAGCAAAATTTCATCACCATACACATATTATACATGGTGTGCTTATGACTGAAAAGAAAATAACATCAGACATCTGTGGATTTATCATGCTGCTTTTCTAACATTTAGAACATTTAACACCTTTTCAAGTGTATGAAATCAATTCAGCAAACAAATTATCTTTGATGGCTAGTGGAAGCTAATAAAAAAAAATACTGTAGGTCAGTGGTTCCCAACCTTTTTGGCATCAGGGACTAGTTTTGTGGAAGACATTTTTTTTCCACAGATGGGGGTGGGGGGAGTAGAGGAAGGGTGGTATGGGGGGATCATCAGGCATTAGATTTTCATAAGGAACACACAACCTAGATCTCTGCATGCACAGTTCACAGTAGGGTTCACACTCCTATGACAATCTAATGCTGCTGCTGACCTTACAGAAAGCACCTGCCACTCACCTCCTGCTGTGCAGCCTGGTTCCTAACAGGCCAGGAACTAGTATTGGTCCATGACCCAGGGATTAGGGATGCCTCTGCTATAGATAATACATGCTCTACTTAAAAGTTCAGATTTTTTTTTTTAAGTTCAGACTTTTTACTTAAAAAATGACCCAAGCCTTGTTTCTACCCCTCCCGGTATGCTCTATGTTCCTTTGTGTCAACTGGCACCTTTCTGTGGAGTGGAGGCCTAGGAAGGCACAGAGGCTGACAACGATCATGTGTATTTGAGGGCCATGAGGCCCACAGCACAAGATAGAGGCTCATTGATTAACTAAAGAAAACCTTTTGTTAAGGACTCAAGTTCTCAGTGAGAAAGAGCAAATTGTGTTTTGATGATTACCTAATCAATCAAACAGACACTTTCAGCCAGTTGGAAATGCAGAAAAAGATACAATCAAGGTGCCCCAGCAGAGGTCTAGAGATGCCTAATCAAAGGTGATCTTTAATCCAGAACCTTGCCCATCACTCCCACTCCCATAAACAGGAGATCTGCAACTAGAAAAACCCAACATTATGACTTCCATAGCATGTTTTCTCCATTTAAAAAATTCCACCCCATCATTTATTATATGTAAATAAAAATATGTGCTCAAGATAGTGCTTAAAAAATAAATAACCAAAATATATTTTAATCAATAGCAATTTGGGAAAGGGAAATGTAGCTTGGTAAAAATACACTATTCCCCATTAGCGGCATGCTTATTTCATTTGTTATCCTTTCATGCTAATAAGTTATTTTGCTCTTACTGTTTAACAAAAACTTTAAAGATGGCAAAAAATTCTTGCATAATTTGTTTACTTAGGCATTTTCAACATTTTTCTTTTGATTCTGTAACACTATTTGGCAATGGCAATTTGCCTCTAAGGAGAAATGAATTAACCTAAAAACACTAACTCTAAACTTTCCTTCATGTACAGCATCTTGTTTAATAAGGTTTCAGTTTATAATTTCCATTATTTGAAAAGATGCCTCACTTTCCGCAGAGCACTTTGGCAATGTAAATTGAAAGCTTTTACATTTTGCCTACCCACTATGCTATTCCACTTCTAAGACTTTATCTTAAGGAAATAATCATAAATGTGCACAAAGACTATTCATTGCGACATTGCTTCTAATAGTGGAAGACTGATCAGGTTCAATCCCAGGAGGTTGGTTAAGGTGCTTCACATTCACAGGGCCCAATTCCATGCAGTCATTAAATCAGGTGGTGGAAAGGTATTGAGTGATTTGGGAAAATGTATTGTGCACACATCAATAAGTAAAATAAGTTTATAAAATGTACTATTTAATATTCATTTTTAAAAAGTACTTATATGTATGCAGTAGTCCCTCCTTTATCAGTGTTTTTGCTTCCTGTGGTTTTAGTTATCCATAGTCAACCATGGTCTGAAAATATTAAATAGACAATTCTAGAAATAAACAATTTATGAGTTTTAAATGGCATGCTGTTCTGAGTAACATGATGAAATCTCTGCTTTGCCCTGCTCTGTCCAGCCCAGGACATGACTCCTCCCTTTGTCCAGCACATCCACACTGTGGACGCTACCTACCCATTCATTGCTTTGTAGCAGTTACCAATTATCAGATCAACTGTCGTAGTATTGTGGAGCATGTTTTCAAATAACCCTTAGTTTGCCCATAATGGACCCAAAGTGCAAGAGCAGTGACGCTGCAATTTGGATATGCCTAAGAGAAGCTATAAAGTGCTTTCTTTGACTTTATATGGAAGGAAAAAATCATACACTGAGGTTGGTACAAAGCACTGTAGTGCTCAATCCACCCATGAGCACTACCTGTTTCATTCCCACAACACCCCACGAAAAAGCTTGGACTGGTTGTTGTTGCCTATGATAATTTTTTAACTTAATATTTTGACATAATTATAGGTGCCCAGGCATGTGTAAAAACAGTACATAGTCACTCTGCTTCCCCTAATGGTGACATCTTGTGTAACTGTAGTATACTATAAACAAACAAACAAGAAATTGACATTGCTACAGGACTATTAGGTAAACTGCAGACCTTGTTTACTTTCACCATTTTTTTAAACATGCATTCAAGTATGCCTGTCTATGCAATTCTTCCCATATCTAGATTCATGTAGCCAACACCATCACCAAGATACAAAATTGTTCCATTACTACAAAGGAACTCTCTGGTGCTACACCTTTATATGTGCACCCTCCCTGTCCTTCCTCATACATGCCCCTGGTGACCATTAATCTATTCTCTACAGTTCTGTCTGCCTACTATGATTTCATGTGTTTATCACTAAGGAAATGGATAAAATAAGATGAATGGAGTGCCTACCTGTAGTGATGAAAATGGCAGTAGCAGAAGATTTGAGCAGAGAATAAGAAAAAAGTCGTCTGCTTTCCAATACTGCCTGTAATGTATTCAGAAATTTTATTTTAAGGAAGTGACTCAAAATTATTTTAAGTTAGTCTGATTCTGTATGAACAGACTCTAATTCTGCAGTGCCTTTCTGCTTTTGGTAAGTGGCTTTCAGCTACCATTATTACCAGAAAGTTCTCTTAAGAATCCAAGGAGGAAACAAAAGGAAAGAAAATAATGAGATACCACATAATTCCATTACTCATTGCCAAAACAAGGAATGCTAAATAAATGTTTCTCAGGCAAAGCTGAACTGCTAGTATAAATTTAAATTTCTTTCCACTTCTTTGCCACTTTGTGTTTCACATAGTCCTTTTCTGAAAGGAGAAGAAATTTCCCTAACTTTCTTACGGCACGTAAAATAAAATTACCATAAAAGTCCTTTGCTAAAAGTTACAATCTGGAAGTTCATACAGATGGAATCAGAGAGTATGTAGTCTTTTGTGTCTGGCTTCTTTCACTTAGTATGATATTTTTGAGATCTATCCATGTTGTAGCATGTATCAGTAGTTTGTTATTTTTCTTTGCTATGTAGTATTTCCTTATGTGGATAGAACACATGTTTATCTACTCTCTTGCTAAGGGATATTTGAATTGTTTTCCAGATTTTAGCTATAATGAATAAAGCTGCTGTGACCATTTTTGTGTAAGCTTAAAAAACAAAACAAAACTCAACACTCATATCTCTTGGACATGTAACTTAAAATGGAATTGCTGTATCAGAAGGTAGATATTTGTTAAACTTCACTGGAAACAGCCAAACAGTGTTCCAAAGTGGTTGCATGAAGTTGGCAAAACTTGTATATGGTGACAGAGGTCAGGAGAGT